AAAAGTAAATTAAGTTCGGAGTTGAAAAATCATCACAATTTATTTTATATTTTAATATTGGCACATTCATATTATCTCTTCATTTCACCATATCTCAGAGTAGAGAGAAAGATAAAGTAAACTACTCAGACTTCATGAGAAAGATACAAAAAAACACAAATTTCATATATAAAAGAAAGTTCGTGCAATACTAATAAATAAACAACACTTATCTGAAACTCTTTTTAAAAGCAAATCCCTTGTAGCCTTTTCTAGGAAATATAGGAAGAAGAAATCTCTCACTTTTCTCCTTCTCGAACACTCTTAGAGAAGAATTCACACTTAATCTCACCATAAAATCTCTAATCTCTTAAAGAAAAATTACTAATAGACTCCTAAATGGTGGTGGAATGAAAATGGAAAAAGTGTATGGAGGCGAGGTGTGGCGAAAATGAGCAAGGAGGGACGAAGAGGAATGAAGATGGGTCAAATAACGACCAATAGGTGCATCCAAAAACTCTTCAAAAATGTCCAGATTTGTTGAATCTTCTAGAAACAGGGCCCGAACCGCCAAAAGCGCCGTCGACGCCCATTCTGACGCCGTCGGCGTCAATGTTCATTTAATTAATTGCCGCTCTTTGTCAAACGGCACCGTCAGCGCTGAACAAATTTTCAACTTCTTCATTTTTGCTCCAAATTTCATCCTTTTTGCTTCCTTTTTGCTCTAAGTCCAAAAAATTAACAACCTGCAAGAAAACATAAAAATACCTTCCATTAAAGTGCAATATCACCAAAAATGAGTATAAAATATGGGTCTAAAAATGCATATATTTTTGGTGTATCAGATATATACTTGGGTTTTTAAAGAAAACCCTATATTACTTGAAGTAATATGTGCACTTGCGTAGAACCACCAGCGTGTGAACTATTTTCTAAATTTTATAACATTTCAAAATTAATGTGTAATTTCTTGACAGGTCAAGTTTTTAGCACTATTACCGGAGATTTAAATTGACATAAAACACATAGAAAAATAACACACACTAGGGGCGCATCAGGTTCCCCAGAGTTGACATCTAAATTAAAAAAATTAAAGGAAATAAGCGAAGTTGTTGGAGAACGACATTTAGAAGATGTCGCAGACATGCAGGGCGTAACATATGATAATATAGCTACACATAGTACAGATGTACGAGATAGAATAACATATATACCAGAAAAAATAAATGGTGGGGAAGACAATGTAAGCACTAGCGATGCAACAATACAGGAAGATCCCGAAGAGGTTGAACGAACACTGATGGATGTTCTTCAGTCGCTCACACATATAGTAAACTGATATTTACATTGTGATACATATCTCCTATTATTATACAATTTTATATATGTTATGTTCATTTGAAGACTCGTCGTCCATCGTTAATTGTGGATCAACCTAGCATTGCAACTACATATAGTCTTGCTGAAGAACCCGTTGTACATACACAACTAGATAGTGAAGCCCAAGAGGGGCAACGAGTACCAATAATTGTAGATGCGTAGGAAGAGCCAACATGTGCTGAGGAGTTTGCATTAGTTATAATGATATATATATATATTTCTTCTAGTAACCATATCCTTAAATTTCATATGGTATGTGTCAGGAATTCATTTCTTTTGTAATCTGTTCCTGCCGTAAAACACAAAGTTTATCCTACGAGAGAAATAATACCACGTGAAATGCAAGATGTAATTGATAACTGTATTGCCAAACACCCTCGAGTGTAAGTATTTGTTTACAACTATTAAAATGTTAACTTGTGATGTTCTGTAAACAGGAATAACAATCTTTTTTTAACGATGCAGAGGTGATATAAGCCTTAATGTTGGTAAAGTTCTACTGGATTGTGCTGGACTGGAGGATGTGCTAATGAACGGATGGTTTGCAAACGAACATGTCGATATTTTTGTTGTTATGCTATATGAAAGAAAGAAATGGTCACCAAACCTGTACAGGACGTACTTATATGTCTCGTCAATGTACTAGGTAATTATAGTCTTCTAATTTATTCTTACAATATTAATGCATTTTTTTCATTGTAAGCTAAATTCTAACTGTTATTCTACTTAGATGCATAGAAAATTAGATAGGGAAGGCTTTATCACCCTCATCACAAAGGATTTTATTTTAGATAATGAAGTCATATTATTTTTTTTATTTATAATCAAAGCTGGATCCTATTGGCTGGGGAGCTGAAAAAAAATAAAATGGTCAATATACGACTCTCTGCCCAACCCAATACACAAAGGAGTAGCCATAAACCTTGTAAGTAATTTTCACGTAGTCCTGTAGTTTAAATAAGTCTTTTCTTTGTAATGTAGTGCAATCTTCTACTTGCAAACAACTCTATACTAACTTATCAACGTACTATGCAGGTGAAACTTTTCTCAAAAAATGTTGCTCATGCTTTAAGGAGCAACACAGATAAATGGCCAATTCCATTTACTTGAGGTGTGCCAACACAAAATAACAGCGTTGATTGCAGCATGTTTGTTTGCAAATAAATGGAGCAGTTAATACAGAAGGTCCAAGTTGACTAAAAACAAAATTTTGAATGGCAGGAACAAATGATCAAATTGAGAGTTGATTTTGTTATTCTATATGCATGTGGGCTTGACAATAATGACAACCATTTTTTATTTAATGACTGTCTTCCAATGAAAGTTTTAATAGAGAGATTAATGCATTTTTTATGACTTGTTTATTTTGTTTTGCTGGCAATGAACTTATTACATTATATATCTGTCCTAAATTTTATTATTAACAACACACTAATAAAACAATAATAATACAATGATAACACTAAATAACACACCAATAACACATCAGTACACATGAAAATGACAAACAAATGAATTAATTCTGTTGCATACATAAAGTGCATGTATTCTGCTCTATAAAAATGACCAGAATAACTAGCATTTTCTCATTGGTGTTATCACATCAGAAACACATCAATAACACATCAATTATTAGAAACAAAATTCAATAAGTTGTTTGTGTTACATACATAAAGTATATGTTAATAATTTTGTTATATTAATACTAATGCTATTACATCAATAACACAATGAAATATATCAATAACCTATAAAACACATGAAGAACACAAAACAAAAGACATTCATAACACTTCAATAACACAATGGTAAATAACTTGTTCTTCATGAGGTATTGGTTAAGTTATTATATAAATACTAATAATATTAATTAATCAACATATAAATTACTACTACAATAAATTAACTAACACATTAAATGAACCACAACAAACCTACAAGCCCACATAACACACTGGAAAATAAAATAACGCGTATGGAATATTCCAGAGACTGCGCGCGGCGTATTCCCATAACAAGCCTGAAATATTCCTATAACACAACACAAAATCCGAAATAATAAGGTTGGAATATGCTTATAACACAGCCGCAGGTAACTATAAAACAACGACATGCGACTATAACACAGGTCGGCATAAAATCGTGTCGAGTATTTTGAAAAAAATGTGTTATTTTTGGGTAAAAGCATGTTATTTTTGGATAAAGGCGTGTTAATTACTGTAAATCCGTAATATTTTCATATTATCACAGTTATAAGACAATTACAACATTTAGAAATTCATTTCAAATATAAAAAATGACTAATAATTTTCTTAGTCATTAAGAACAAAAAGTGCGTAAGACAATGACAACATTTCGGAATATTCTTAGTCACAAATAAATTCTCCAGGAATTTAGATAAGAATTTAAAAAAAATACAAATTATCATGATCGTTAAAATAATTTCTCTTGTTAGTAATTGCTCATTTATTCTGCTTTGATACGTGTCATGAGTTATCGCTCACTTATTGAATCCATCAACAACCCGATATATGTCTGTGTTAGTTAGGATGCACAGTATTCCTGCCAAATTGGAGTAACAATTTTAGGACTTTATTTCAAATAAGAGGTAGTCAAATGATACTGAATAACAATAACATACTTTGGTCAGACAATCCGTCAAATTTGCCTCACATGGATTAACAACTTCACGGCTTGTTGATGCTTCTTGTTCCTTTCCTGTATTCAATGATTACAAATTAGCAATGGGCATAATACATAAATTGAAGGGATTTTTCAATGAATAGAAATTTACTTCTTTCTCTCTTATTTTTCTCCCAATATTCTTTCAACCTAGATGTAGATATTCCTTTCGGCCTCATCTTTGGAGGGTCGTTCACATTGGATTCTATATTTGATGGTTTTTTCTTCTTTGTTTTTTTCTTTACTTGGGTTGTTCTCCCCGCTAAAGAATCATCAAGATCAACAGATAATTTTTAAATGTTTTCCACAAACACTCCTCGGCTATATCATTTCCTTATCCTTTATTGATGAGTTGGTATGCAAATTTATAAGAACACGACCGTAATAGAAGCCACTTGAAGAACCATTAATCATTTCAGAGTCCTTTAGATCTTTGCATCCAAACCTGTTATAAATGTCCCATTTAGCATGCATGGACAAGCACAACATAAATTATACTTATGGTCCGTTTGAGGCAGCTTATAAGTGCGGGGGCATTTTTGAAAATGCCGCGGTACCATTTAGATTGCACATTTTGTCTGCTTATCTGAAAACGCGGTTCCATTTTTATACTAAACGCAGACCGCGTGTCGACTCCTGCAGTCGATCCGCGGGCTGCGTTTTAGGATAAGCTGCTTATCCTGAAACGCACAAGCTGCCCCAAACGCATAGCTTGTATAAAAAATTATGACATTCCCAAAACAGTCATAATCAAGCTTGGATGACCCATCACTCAAAAAAAAACTTTTTAATCTACCATATTCATCCGTCTGGAAATCCCAAGCAAAAATGTTATCCTAAATTTGCCTCTCCATGAACAATTGTATTAGAGGATTGACATCCTTCTGTTCAATTCTTTCTCTTCTTTCTTTTTGAATGAAATTAAACGCCTCTATCTTAGTACATTCCAAATTCTCCACTCCCACAACTTTTGCAACAATGAAGTTATATGCATTTGTTGCTCTAATTCCTTAACCTATCATTGACTCAACACATCTGCATTTAACTCACTTATCATTCTACTGGAATGAAGGAAATGCTTATAATCACTTTTGGTCAGAAGATGATTGTGACTTTCAATGAATTTATTCACTGTTAATTGCCTTCGGGATCGACAACATAGCGAACCATGACCAGACACCTAGTCCCCGTGTCTGTTTTTTTGAACTTCACTGTGTCCATAATGTTAGGTTCTTTCTTGTATCCAGCTTTTCCGCAAACAAAATCTTTGGTCTTTAATTTCTTCGAGTTCGGCCAATATCTAGTATGGTCCTTCCCAACAGTGAATCCTACGTGATGTGCATAAGCACAATAGCTTCCATATGCTTCTTGCTCATTATGGATAGTGTTGCTTAGAAAATTCTCTGCAATTGGTTCATTGAGAACATTTGTAGGCTCACAAGACTGCAAATTTGAACAAAACACGTAGTCAGAAAAGGTACAGGTGTTGCACATCAATCTATTAATAACACAAGCACATTAACACTTACAATAACACAAGAACAAATCCAAATATTCACACCATCATTAACAATACAATAATACAATAATACAATTATACAACATTAATCATGAAATGTCACAAGCACAAATCCAAATAACACGAGCAAAACGACATAATAACGCCATCATAACACCAACATAACACCAGCATAACTACTACACAACACCACCCAATAACACTACGTTAACACCAACATTAACATCAACATAAGCCAGAGACCCTAAATAAAAACAGCAGCACAACCAGAATAATACTGGAATAATACTAGTGTAACACCATAGTAACAAAAGCTTAACAACAACATAGCACATAAATCTCACCGGTAAAACACTAATAAAGGGCCTAGGAATATCGATTTCAGGTAAATTAAAAATACATGCTAACACCCCAAACTAAACATGTGACCCTAACCTAACAATAAACTATACATCATTAGGGTGCAAAATAATTTTTTTCCGTTATAGACTCGATCTTCGAAGTCGAGGGAGAATGATGGGTGGAAGTCCATCGTCTTCCAGAAATCCTAACTGAATGCAGAGCTGCGAAAAATTTCTTCAGCTGACAATAGAACAGTCTAATCCTTCCGAAGCGAAATGATTTTATGAAGGTTGGCAGGAAATACGCTAGGCTATGCTTCGGGCCGGGTCTTCCGTGAATTTATATTTAATTTCCCTAATTTCGTCCGGTCGGCAATCCGGGTGGCTCCGTTGGACTGATTTTTTTGTGTGGACTTCTGAAGTAGCTCTACGTGAGTTATTTTCAAATTATTTTAAGGTTATTTTCAATAATCTCAAAATAACTCAAAAATAAAAAGTAGTTTTTTTTTTTTTTGTTATTTAGATTCCGGACAGACCCTTCCGTTGAGTTAATATTTTTTCCCGAGTGTTGCCAAACAACGGGGACATTGCAGTACATTCAGCCCCAATCTCGATCCCATTTCTCTGCTAGGGTATCGGTCCACCGCCGGCCATGGTAGCGACGGCCCAAACTGCTACTGGTTCGCACTTCCACGCATTGCTCAATGGCTACCCCATGAACTGCCCGAGAGCAGTGGTTCAAACAACTAACCGAAAGGGAAGAATGCTTTTTCGTTCTTCGCTCACTGGAACCTCAGCTGGTTTCTTGGATTCAATTAGAGGTATTACTCGTTGATGAGCCATCAAGAGGTTTTCCAATCCTAATGCGTTACCTTTAAGCAGCATTCCTCCCACTTTCATGGCTTTATTTTGAGTTATTCGATCCATATTTTGGTCCTAATTTTCATTAACTAGCTATATCGTACCTTCATCACTTGACCTTAGTTTGTTTGGGATAATAGGAGGGTTATTATTCACTGAACAATAAAAAGTAATTCCAATATGCTTTTACATACATCACCTGTAATAAAATTTAGCTATAATTAGCGCAGTGGCTCAACTCTCAGGTGCTGTATGGAATCTTCTAGCCTTTAACTTAAGTGAATTTAGTAAATCTTGTAAATCCGAATTTACCAAATCCTTAAGTGGTTAAATCTCATGAACGGTTTTGCGTGAGCTTTAGGGGCTGTCTGGAAATGAATTTACTGCAGGGATTTAGGCTGAATTTTACATAAATTCTCCCAAACGTTTTTTTTTGGACTTATAAATCCTGTGATTTAGTAAATCCATATTTTGGCCGATTTCACTGATTCTCATTATAAATCCTGGATTTATTTAATACCCAAATTTAAGAAATTTAATGCGATTTAAAGAGGGGCTATCACTGGCGTTAATGAGACAAGGAATGAGAGGATAAAGTATAGTTGGCGAGAGCAATCGAGATAAAGTATAACCGGCGAGAGGGAGCTAGCAGGCGGCTGAGATATCGTTAGTGAAATATTGGAGCTATAATAAGGAAAATCCAAAACCCTAGCATTGATCTCTTGCTTCTTGATATGACCAAAATGCTATCAGGCATCGACGATACACACAAATATACATACTGACCTAGCAGTATACAAAATTGGGTTCGTGTGTCGTTCTCATGAGTAAAGAATGGGCTTCCAAGGTCCTAAAAAGTTACAGTCTACAGATTTTGAGTCTAGTCTGAAGGTTCAAAATTTAGTGATTTTAAAGTTTTTAATCTTATTTTTTGCAAATATAAAACCTATAACTAGTTTTGAGTTTGAACAAGTTATAACATTTCTTGAATTGGTCCCTGTACAAATTAGATCTATCAAAGAGACTCTAATGAAGTTAATAATCAGGAATAATTGTTTTTCTTAGCTCTTCTGGTGGTTGTAATAAAACTGAGGTTTCATATTACACGTAATCCTCTAACAATGTAAACCCCCCCCCCCCAAATTTTCAATTTTTCCAGTAAATTTTACTACACGATTGCACCGTTAAAACAAAAATATTACTGTTTTCTTAAAGTAGCTTAGATTAACTAAATCGTCCAACTAGCCTACTTTCGTAGCACTAGTTTAACATCTCAAGTGATCAGTTTAGGAGTAAATTACATACATACGATTAAACTATCAACTTAAAATTCAAAATACACACAATCACATAATTAAAATGATACTAATTTGCATAGAATCTAATTTAAGGGAGAAAAAAAAATTAGATCATATTCATAACAGTTGAACACAACACAAATTTCATTGCAAAATCCAAAGTAAGCAAAATTAGAATGATCCCACCGATATTCTTCATAGATTCACAAGAAATTATAATGAAATCCCTAGTTTTCTACCGTGTGAATTAATATTTTCACTCCATACTTATTCTCTCTCAGGAGAACTCTCACAAACTCCTACATTCTTCCAAGGATTCCTCTGGCAAAGCATGATTGAAAGCTGCTATTATTCTCCGGTGACTCCCTCTAGTCTCTATCTTTTTTCTCTTGATGTCACTCTAAGATTAGCATGTTCAAAAATTGTAGAGAAAAGAGCACCCTTTACTTCCAAATTGCTTTATTCTATAACCATGGATTATTATACTATCCCGTCACTTAACTAAAACGGTCATAAATCTCTGAGTTGGTTCACCGATTGCAAAGTTCTTCCATGGAGAGCCGGTGCCTCCCTCGCGCAGTATTTGTGTTGCTATTTCTTTTGTAGGTGCCGCCTATATTTTGGTGTGGCACTTTGGTACCACTAAAAGTGGTGCCTAGATTCCCGCCTCTCTGTTTGACACACTTGAGAGATACGTGGAAGAGGAAAAATAGTTGTAGCGTACGTACTCTATTATTGACGTAGCTACACCAACAATGACCTACATATGCCAGAAAATGTCGTAGCTACGCCGGTTTGGATTTTGGGGCGTTCAAATGCTACTGAGCTCCTTTTAAGCCCAATGACTTGAAAATAACATAAAAACACCTGAAATAGTATAAATGAGCTACAAAATAGTATAAATATTCTAGGAAAACACATAAAAATACATTACAAATTTGATACATATCAAATTCTTCCAAACTTAAACATTACTTGTATTCATGTAATTTTAAAATTTAGGATTAGAATTTAATTAAAATTAGGGAAGATCATAGATGAAAAATTTCAGTGTTTTTTATTAATTTAGTAATTAGTCAAAATTAAAGTGCATAAGTCTCCCGTATAGGTAGAATTCTCATAGCAACCATTTAATATCATGATTTAACTCTCATTAATTCTAGATCTATATAATTCGTTTCAATTCCTCATGTGAGGTTTACATGTTATGAAATTAATACATCACACATGAAATATTGTTAGCTACTCAAACAATATTAATTCTATTATTAACCTGTTATATAACAAATTTCAAAGTTAAGTTAGTGAAGCTTTTAATCCTTTGACTTATTAAAGAAATTTATTAGTATCAATTTTTTATATGAGCTTAACCTCAATTTTCTTCTTCTAGGTTCAAAAAAATCTTCTCATTTAAAATATGAACACCCTTTTTTAATTTTCTTTTGATTTTTTTTTTCATAGAGGATTATTATGTTTAGTTAAGTTTATTTTATTGATTTTGATTTCTGGTCCTTTCCTACGTTAAATTTTTAATTACTTCCTAATTTTCTTAAAAGTTTATAATTCAATCGATACTAACTAAGAATTAAATTTTTTAAGTGAGTAGTGACTAATTTTAATAGTGTTGATGTGTTAAATTTTTCTATATTCATCGCTCACTTAATACTTTATGAAAAATTATATAGATTTGTATTATTAAAATTAAAGATCAACTACTAGTAAGTTCCTATATTCATACCTTTCAAAATTTCCTGTCATTAAAATTTAAGTTATTTATATATTATTAAAATTCACCTCTACTCTTATCTATTTCTGATTCGCAATATAAACTCTAAAGTTAGATCTTTATTTTAACTTAAAGGGCAATATAGACACATTTGCTCTCCCCAAACTTATTTTTTAGCATTATATATGCAAATACAACAGAACAGGGCGATGAGCATTATAAGGCATACTATTAATATCCAACAAAAGGAAATTACACTACAAACCATAACACATAACACTTATAAATACATAAATGTCAACAAATATAAACATGCAAATATAGGTTCAAGCTTCAATTCATAAACAATTTAAATTTTAACATCAAGCTCCAAGACTATGTGAGAGGTTGGTAGCTCTAGAGATTCTAACAAACAAAATTATACATAAGCATACTCTAAAGTAAAAGAAGGGAAATTAGGTTGCCTCCCAATAAGCGTTTTGTTAACATCTTCAAACAGAGCCAATCACAAGCATGCATAAAAAAACAAAACAAAAAATGCAATCTCACAATATGATAATATTTGGGTCGCATTCCAAGGAACGATTGATTTTATGTTCATAGCTAGACATGATCAAATCAAACTTTAAGATTCTCTTTATGATCAATTATCTAGTTTAATAATCGTCGATAAGACTCTTCTGCCACATTCTATTGTGATCTTATATTTTCCTCTTTTTAAAATATTAATTTTTTTTTTCAACTTCTTATTTAAATTTTTTTGCAACATTTCTATTTCAAATCTCAAACATTGGTCAATGATATAAGTAGGAGATGATATAAGATCATGAATCTGAAAAATCACTTCCTTATTTTGCGCTTTAATAGTTAACTCTCATTTCTTGTAAATCAATGTTTGTCGTACCAGTTGCAATAAAATATTTTTAAAAAATAATAGGGATTTCAGTATATTGCTTCATATCTAACATAATTAAATCAACATAGAAGATGAATTTCTCTACTTTTACTAGGATATTTTCAATAACCCTTTAAAAAAATTAAAGAATGGTTAGCTAATTAAAGAGTCCGAGTGGTGGGTTGAAACTCTCCTAGTCATAGTCTTTCAAACACTAAAAAATATTAGGTTTATGTTCGCTCTTGAGTCACATAACGCCTGCCAATAAATTGTTCTCCTATAGTGTATTGAATGATAACACTATATAGATCTTTCAAATTTTGTGGAAGTTTTCTTTGAATTATAGCACTATAATTTTCAATTAATATTACAGTTTCAAATTTTGAAAATTTACCTTTATTTTCCAAATATTAATTCAATTTTTTTTTTAAAAATAGCATTTGTTGAAGTGTTTCAACAAACAAAATATTAGTAATGAACTTCTTAAATATTTCTAAAACTTTAGTGAATTGCTGGTCATATTTATATTCAATCAATCTCTAAGGAAGAGAAGATGGTGATCTCCTTGTTCTATCTGATGTAGTGAATGTATTTTTTCTAAATCTGGGATAAATTTTTCTATAGGTCCATCAGACTTAGATTCACTCCTCTATTCTAAGTTTTTCTATTTTAGGCTCCTCAAGCATTGTTTCTTGTCTTATGATGTTGCAGTGCTCCACATTCTAGTCTTTTGGATTTTTCTTTGTATTTCTTGGTAACACTTAACTATTTGCCCAAGTTGTGTTTTGATGTTCCTATTAGCTGCAATATGACTTTATATTTGATTCTCCATATTCAGTGTTACTTCTTCCAAAGATAATTTCTTTACTTTGAACTAAAAGATTATAAGTGAATCCAGGAAGATAGGTCAATCTAGGATGACCATTATCTTGTTTATTCCAATTACCTAAAAGATTGAGTTGGCTATTATCTTACTGTTTGGTTCCTACACCTTGGTTATTATTGTTCCAATTAAAATTTAGTTTGTTTTTTCAACCTAGGTTATAGGCATTAGAATACGGGTTATTGAACCTATATTCCATAGTGTTTAAGATTTTTAAAGAATTAGTACAAGAATCTTCTACTGGTTTGTAGGCTATTTCATTACTAGGTAGTGATCCTTGCACAAATTATGGTCGAAGTTATATTTTCCTAGAAATAACAGCCACTGTAAGGTTAGGATTGCTAACACATCTGCATGTATACTATATACCTTCTTAGGATTAACTCTATCTGAAGGCCATTGAAAATTATTAATAATCATTTCCTTAATCAGTTAATATGCCTCCTTAAATTGATTTGACATAATTGACCTTTTTTATAATGATCTAACCATATGACCAAATATAGATTTCTTAATTTAGTTTTTTTTGTAAACAGATGATGTCTAATTTTTTCTCAGCCACACGATCAACTATTATTCTGTTGATAAATAAGAATGATTCATGCACATTTAAGTATCAATATTCATTAATATTTTTTTTTTTGCCAATCTTGTTAAAGAGGAACTAATAATTAAAGATTTCGGGTAGGATCTTGATAGAGCACCAACTAATAATAAAAAATTATGAGCATATACAGTGAGAATAAAAACTAAATTCGACGATATAGAAATCATCTTGTTTTGAAGATTACTACAAGAGTCTAAACTTTTGTATTTTTTACGAGTAAAAAACTTTTGAAATAATATCTTCTCTTCTAAATGTATATGACAATTATCTAATTTGATCATTTTCTCTATATTTCTAGCATATATTTATTTAATTAGTACTCAATTTTGTGTGATAAAGTTAAAACCTCAGTCACTCTGCATTTTAATTTGGATGATATATGTGTAAGCACTACAAGAATAAAGTGCAAATGCTTGAGTTGTTTCATTGCTTAATATAAGTTATTTAAATGGTTGGACTTTAGGATTTTTTTTTTTTGAAATATTCTATTTATTTCTCTTAAAATTTGTTAATATTGTTGAAATATTAGAAGACTTAGGGTTTGTTTGGGCAGCTGGTTTATAACAGCTGCTTTAGGAAGCTGTTGCCGGAAAGCTGGTTGCCTGTTTGTTTTTTACAGTTTGAAAACAACTGCGTGACGGTTATTTTTGAATAAATGACCATTCTGCTCTGTATAGTAATGCTATTTGCAACAGAACTCTCATAGAAATATATTTGATACTTGAGAACAAAAAATCTACTTCAAAACAATACAAAAAATAAGATATACACCTCACATAACAGTGAATATCAAATAATGAACATATGAAGATGCATTTTAAATGATTTGAAATGAAATATAAAGATTTAAGTCATATAGGATTACCCCCAGATGGTATTGGCAGGAGATGCATTGTACATATGCACATTAAAGGAAATGCTAAAAGTGTACCTTCAGGTATAATTTGAGGGTACCTTCGGATACAATTTTAAGGGCGTCTTCGAACATTTTTGAGGATACCTTCAGGTATGATGACAGTCCTGTGATTATTATGTGGTAAATACTTAAAGTGAAATGAGAAGCGATAAAATTAAAGTGAAATTTCAAAATTTTGTAAAGAAATGAACTGATTTTTCTTTTGATCATTCATACATAGCATAAACATCATAATTTAATGCATATTAGATTATAATTACTCACTAAGTTATATTTAGGGTTGCAATTAATATTTTCTTTCATGAGAAGGAAAATTTTAGGTTGATATGTCTGGTACGAGAGATTTTGTTTACAGGAGGAGGACTACAGTTGATAGGCACTAGTTTTGATATGTTTGTAGCTTCTGTTTACTGTTTCCTTTATTTACTATTTATTACTTGTTTGAGATGTGGTTTTCAGATTATGTTGATGTTTCTGGATGTTTAATTTCGTTGTACTTTGTTGATTAGTGACTCTTTTATATTTTGGAAGTATCTAAAACATTTGGTGGAAAGTAAAATGAAATGCTAATACCGTCCAACCGCAGTTCTTGTCTTAGTTAATTCTATACACCGGGCTGGGTCGTGACATCTTCGTAGTTGAAGCGTGCATGAATTGTACTCAATCCTGCTCATAAATTTTAAATATGCTCATAATTTTTTTCTTGTCAATTGATGTTCTACCTGCTTTAAATCTCTAATGATTGGTTCCTTTTTTACAAGATTTTTAACAAGATTGTTAGAAAAATAATTTTTTAATGAATATTTGTACTTGAAGTGTGCATGGATTACTCACTATCAAAAGAACAATAGCTGAACGTGGGACTGAGGAAAAAAGTAGATTTCATCTGTTTGCAAAAAAGACTAAATTAAGAAATCTATATTTGGCCATATTTGGATCTATATAAAGAAAAAGGGGCTATAAAACTTTATTTATTCAGTTAGTAAAATGCAAGCTGATACGATAATGAGACTTTTGATACTAGGGCGTAAAGATGATAACTGACAAATTATAAGAAAATAGGAAGAGGAAGTGTGCCTGATTCTTGTTACTTCTACGCAGACCGCACGAACGTACCGAAGAGCAATGATGATGTGAGGGAAGGAACAAGGGAAGTAAAGCCTGACGTAGAGGAGGTAAGTTTTAGAGGTAGGTTGCAGAGGCAAGAGATCGATGCTAGGGTTTTGAGGTTTTCTTATCATAACTCATACCTTCCACTAACGACATCTCCACTACCCACCAACTACACTTCTGCCAACCATACTTCATCCCGATCACTCTTTGCCAACTATACTTCATTCCGCCTGCATCTTATTCCATTCCTGCCAGCAATAGCCCCTTTAAGTCACATTAAATCTACCAAATTTGTGGATTTCATAAATCCGGGATTTACAGTACGAATCGATGAAATCTGGATTTACCAAATCGCGGGATTTAAAAGGCCAAAAATACAGTCTGGGAGGACTTACGCAGAATCTGGCCCAAATCCCATTGTAAATCCATTTTCAGGCAGCCACTTAGTAATATTTTACTTTCTTTGATACGTGTGAATGCATGAAATATGAAATCGTAGTTGTGGAAAAACACACAAATTTAACAGTAGCTTAAAACCATTTATTTTTTGTTATAGTTTGTTGTCTTTTAAATTTGATTAAATCATGGGTTTGAGTTCTAATTTTATGGTCAAATTTTTTTCTGGTTATTTGGAACTTTTGTTAAGCTCTTTTTCAATCTAAGGCAGAACTTGTGTTTGTGATTAACCATTGGCTTGAATATAAATTTAATAGTAAAATATTGTGATAGCTAGACGACTATTTGGTTTGCTGACATCTTTTATGCAATGCCATATTATTTGCAGATATTTTGTGTTTAGTGTGCTAGAATCTTTAAATTATAAATTCGTATTAAAATTGATATCTTATTGGATCTCATATTGGTAAAATCCAAAGTTCTTTTTTAATGGTGTCTTTGTTTGACTGGCTAAATTTATTGGAGTGTACTGATTTAAGAAGATATTATTGACATAATGAATTCTTTTGTTTTGCTTGCTAAATTTATTAAATTATCTGATTTAAGAAGATATTATTGACTAATGACGTACTTTTGCTAGTAATTGAATGATAATTGTTTATTGAGGCTGAATGGCTTTTTTGGTTTACTTCAGGATCAGCAGGCCAGTGGCATAAACTTAGTCTGAGGTTTCTAAGTGGTTATCCTTGCAAACTATCAATCCATCCTCATCGATCTGCAAGTTTTTTCTGTAGTATTTCAACAGGGCAAGCAAGCAAGGACAGATTTGTTTGTTACACATCATCAGGAGAAACAGTACAACAATCATATAGATGGCCAGATAACCAGGTTATTATGCATGATAAAAGAAAGTGATTTATCAATTTAAATGTTATATGTGGTTACAAATTACCCTTAACTTGTCCTGGTTGATTTTTGAAATATTATTGTTCTCATGTAAGATACGACAAGTAGCTATCATAGATAGTTTGAAGTGCTTAACTTCAGCTTTAATCATGTTGTTATTTTTCAAATTTATGTTTACTTTGAGGTTTGATAAAGCTTTCACTCAATAGAAGTCTGGTTTCCTTAGCCTTGTTTCACAAAATCTCAGCTTCCAGAAGTGGAATATGGAATACCTTCTCCTTATTATTTTAATGAAACTGAATCGGATTATGACACCTTCTGGGATTGACTAAAAATAAACTTCATTTTTATTTAACCCAATGATTGATATTCTCCATCTTTTTACGATTATACTCAACGGACTAACTTTAGTGGCATTGAGCTTTTGTTCTGGATTAGTGTGTTGATCTCATTAGCTTGGAAGGATGTGTTTTGAGAAGGCGGATTCTAAGCACAATAATGAACCGAAATATAATTAAATTAACTTTTATCACTTTTGATGTTATAAAATATATACTTAAATATGTAACTTGTTTACTTGTAAATTTTGAGAGATTTTTTAGTTCTCCTTCTTCTGGTATTGACTTTTGCAAATAAGATGGCTCATTTTTCATTTTGAATCAAACTTATTATTTTATGTGTTTTCTTGATATGTTAACTAGAAGCACAATTTCAATTTCACTTATATATGAAAAGGAGAAATATTGGTTCGTGGTCAAGCAGCTTTGCTATTTCTTTTCTGCAGAAGCCAAGGATATGTATTTTAGGAGGCGGATTTGGTGGCTTATACACTGCTCTAAGAATTGAAACACTTGTATGGACCGATGATAAGAAACCTCAGGTAGAATTAGCACTTTTTTTTTTCTTTTTGAAGCTCACATTATTATGCGAACATTTTGTGATTGCAATGAGATGATGAGCTGCTATGCACCAAAATTGGGTTTTAAAGATTTTTTTTATTCGATTTCTTTTATTTTTTTGTTTAAAAATAATTTATTATTTTCACTACCATAGAATTGTTGCTTCATTTTCTTTTCGAAGTTGAAGAGCTTAATAACAACCTTGGCAGCTCTAGTATCAATTTTCCATTTGTTACACTTTTTTCCATATTATGTAACTCGATACTTCTTTAATGAAGCTAAAGGAGAAAATAATGTAATGTAGACTTGGAAAAATTTTGTTAATTCTTGAGAATCAATTTGGTTACATGTTAGGAAGACTTTCTATGTAACCAGTTTTTATCAAGTTATGAGGAAGTATGAAAGCAAAGGATGGATCTTCTTGAAAATTAGATTGAGAAGAGAGGTGTAAAAAATGGTAGATTTTATGATTGATTTTTTTTTGTTATTTTGTATAAAAAAGATTGTAATCTGTACATAAATAGGTGGATGAATAATTTATTGAAAAAAACATAGAAATTTGTCTTTAATTTTGTAATTCAAAAATAACCACTCAAAAACTGTAATAACCAAAATTTAATAATAAGAATAACATAAACTATAAAAAAAGAAAAAGAATAAATCAAATTTATCAGGTCTATGTCGGTTCAAAATAAACGGCTCAACGGTTACTTAAGAGACGCATGCTCTATCTGAACCGATCGAATCAGAGATTGAGTGTGCGAGAGAGGATGAGAGAGTAAGAGAAGCATAGAAGAAGGAAGTATCATACCTTGCTCACAATGTCGCAGCAGATTCAAGGGAATGATTACGAGCAGAAGTCGTATCGTTTGAGAAGGAAGAAGAAGAATAAAGAGAGAAAGACGATGCTCTCGACACAGGTACAAGAGAGGTTTGACACTGTTGGCTTGAGGGACAACCTAGGGCTCTCTTTGTGAGAAATCTGTGTGAAGGAGAAGAGGTGAGGCGTCGTTGCCAGAGGAGATGATGCTAACTTCAGTACGAGGCTCGTCTCGTGCATGGAAAGGAGTCGATACGTGTGTCCTGTGTATGAAGGGAGAGAGGAGAGAGGAGAGAGGAGAGAAAGCCATATCGTGCAGGCGAGGGGTAGGGCTTTGATTGTAAGAGGATGGCTCTTATTTAGAAGGATCGGGAAGAATTGAGTCAAACACGAGATTTCTGTTGTTGCGCGAAGAGAAGATCCAGGGTGAATCACATACAGGAGAGCTCGCTTTGAGCAGAAGGCTTCGAGTGAAGTAGGAGAGGAAGCTCGCTGTGTGGGGAAAAGGACCAAACTTAACCTTATAAGGTAAATTAGAGTTTATTTTCTTAGATTTTTTTTATAGTAATTATGTTAGATTTATTATATAATTAATAAATAATTGTTATAAGTAATGTTGTAACCTAATTATGGTGGATTCTATTATTTGATGATAAGATGTAACAGGTCGAACAACTTTTGCTTTGTAAGATTTAGAGATTTTAACTATTGATTTCACAAAATGAGAAGATAAATATCAGAACTTTTAATGTTCTATGTTTCTTTAGAATGATTAATTAATTGAAATGATATTAAATGTTAATATTAAGTTTTGCTAAAACAGAAAACTTTTTAGATTGAAGAACGTTTGAGATTGAAGGGAGAAGAAAAAATTGCGGAATAAAATTGAAGTATTTGAATTGAATATTAATTATAATCAAATAGCTAATTATTTAATTATTTAAAAAGTTTTATTGCTTAATAATGTCTGAAATTTGTGGTGAAAAATATTTGGATCCAAAAACAAGAAGAATTAACAACATTACTTAGGCTAGGCTTTTCTATTTAAGTTTTATGATAGCTTTGCATTGAGATTTATAAATGTGAATAATAAGTTTTACTGAGTGATATTAGATTTTGCCAATTCAAGTTATTAAATTAGAGGATCGAAAGGAGTAGAACGATGAATACTTGAGGTGAGTAATTATATTTCTAAATTTTTAGCAATCTTTTTTATTTTAAAATTATGTTTGATTTCATGTATGCCCTAGTTCAGTTATATTTAAATTATAATATATTTTTTTTATTGTTAGATAGAAAAGATATGCATGATAGAAAAAATATACATGATTTGCATGATAGAAAAGATATACAAAATATGCATTATAAAAAATCTATACAAGTTACGCATGATAAATAGTTGTACATTAGAGTAATTATGCATGGCCATAAATGAATGAAGATGTCTTAGAAGGATGTATGTTTTAATAAATGAAATAATGTATATATGAGTACTTATATGTGCATGTTAAGAGGAGCTAACCCTCTAGTGGTACATGCAGGAGACGTCAATGTATCCACATGTATAGTTGTTTTTTTAACTACCCCAATTAATTGTGATGTGATCACTAACCGCTATGTTGATGAGAGAATATTGATCAGGTGCAAGTAGACAAATGTTGCCACCCCAAACAATTATGATGTTTAAATCGCTAACCGACGTGCCAATGGGATAATATTCGGATCAGGGCAGGTAAAGACATTTCCACCTCAGACAATTGCAATATTTAGATCGCTAACTATTGTGCCGATAAGATAATATCGGTCATGGGTCTGTTAGATTGTTTTGGTGGTGATCCTCAAACAAACATGTGTGAGATGGAACCTTCTTGCAATCCTACTTGCTGCAACAACCTTCCCAACCACCCCTCATCATTGCGGTCCAGTCGAGCTCATCACCTTCATACTCGCCTTAGAGCCGTGTTTGTGCTTGTGTATTTTATTTCTATTTTTAAGAACATATTGTTATGATTCCTTTGATTCATTAGCAATAATATTTGCATTTGACTGATTTTTCGGTTAACTTCGATATCACTTGATTCTCAACAGTTTTTTTTATGTTTTGACTTAAATCAATAGAGAACCAAATGTTAGGATAAGTGATCGATTGATTCCTATTTTAACATTCATGGTGTTTCTAGTGAACCGAATTTTCATTGTTGGATTAATTGGGCTTCTTTGTGCTTTCTTCCAATCTTTTTGGTTTCTCAAAGAAGATTAAGAATATACTCCATTTGGAAAATAACAATACTAATTCTAATTTTAACACTTCCATATCATGAAAATTTTTTCTATCTCAGCTTATGTTAAAATAATTTGCTCTTCCTCGAAATCATTAGTTAATGGAATATTGTCTACATATGTGACTAGAATTGCCATTTCTTTCCTTGAGATAAGTGTTTGATAAAGAGCTTTTGATTAACTTGGCGTTGAGTTTACCCGCGCTTTTTAAATAAATTTGGACATTTTCCATATACCGAGGTCCCATTTGGAAAAGTATTTTTTAATTTCAAGCTCATGTAAGCTGACAATTCAAGCTTGGTGTTTGTGGTTGTGCTTGCCATGTATAAGAGAGCATAATGTTTGGGGTTGTACTTGCCCGGTGTAAGAGAATACGAGAGATTGGTTGTAATCTTCATCTAATTAGTGGAATTCTTTGTCAGGGGTGACTAGTGTCGGCCGTTTTTTTTTTAACCTTCGTGATTTGAAAAGGTGATGATTTTGTAATTTTGAAAATAATTTAAATATGAATATAACCTTTTTTATTTTTAAAAGTAACATTTTACATAAGTAACATTTTAATTTTAAAATAGGTGAGATCAAACAGGTCTCACATTTTAAATAATTTAAATGATTGAATATAATACTACAGACAATAAACTTATCCCGAAGAAATAAATATATCACTTGTAATAGGGATTCAATCACTCAGACTAAAGCAGACTAGACATCCGTTTTGGTCTGCGAAATATTTTATAAAAAGACCAACAAGTTTCCCTATCTAACATAAAAATCTAACATAAAAAATTAGATAAAAAATTAGATAGAGTTTATTTTATCTGGGTTCCAGGTTTCCTATAGAGATAAGCCCCTATAGTTAATTAAATCTTAAATGATCGGGGGTCACTTAAGAAAACTCTCGATTAAGATCAGGTGGTTTTGCTTTCAAGATTTTAAAGTTTAAGTTTTCACGATTGGACATGGGAAAAATCAAATGGGAATGGCTCAAAATAGGAACAATTATTTAAGGAATCCAAATGAAAGAAGGAAAGGGGATATCACAGATCCAGGAGAAACCCCGGAGATGTCCCAACTATCCTATTGTATTGTTCGGTTTTATGTCTTTGAAGTGATGCTTATTTGATATTTCAATTCTGCAAATTATTTAAGATTTAGAGCTTATGTTTACACAATATCGAACTGTGCAAATAGTCTAAAAAGATAGGAGGATTTACACCGTATAACATGGTAACCTCAGAATCCTAAAGCGTTAGGACTTATAATTGTACAATAGAGTTGTTCAAAAAGCCTAAAGAGTGATCCTATGGGTTGTTATGATGATCAAGCCTAAAAGAAAATGATAGGTGATGTGAATGTGTTTTGCTATTTCAGATTCATCTTGAAGTTGTTCCTCTTCGCCTGCCCACGATGTTCGCTCCAAACTCCTTGTAGTAGCACCTCCTGGTTTGGTTTTAGTTTTGAAAATGCATCTAACCACTAAGTTATTCTATACTAAGACATAGTACAAAAACTAAACAATAAAACGTGCAATGTGAAAGAAAAGTAATAATGTACTGTACAGTAAAGAGGAAAAACGATATAACATGCTGAAAGAAGAGTATAACGTGCTATAAAAAGTAGTATAACAGGATATAAAAATAATATAACATGCTGAGAAAATAAAATGCTGTAATATAAATTAAACCTGTACACCTGGTA